CGCGTGTGTGCATGTGTTCGCTGTGTGTGTGGGCAGGTGTGTGGGTGCATGTGTGCGCATGTTCGCTGTATGTGTGTGCGTGTGTTCACTGTGTGGGTGTGTGGGCGTGCGTGTGCATGTGTTCGCTGTGTGGGTGTGTGGGCACATGTTCACTGTGGGTGTGTGGGCGAGTGTGTGCGCGTGTTCACTGTGGGCGTGTGTGTGCGTGTGTTTGCTGTGTGTGTGGGGGGGCGCATGTTCGCTGTGTGGGTGTGTGGGCAGCTGTGTGGGTGTGTGCGTGTGTTCGCTGTGTGGGTGTGTGGGTGAGGGTTTCACTGTGTGTGTGTGTGCATGTTCGCTGTGTGGACATCTGTGTGCGCGTGTTCGCTGTATGGGTGTGTGGGCTCGTGTGTGTGCGTGTTCACTGTGTGGGCGGGTGTGTGCACGAGTTCGCTGTGTGGCTGTGTGGGCGCGTGTGTGTGACGCTTCACCTGTGAGGGAACGGTGGGGGTAGCAGTTTCTGACTTCACTTCTCCCTCTTGGACCCTTCAGGTGCCACTCCCGGGAGAGCCAGATAGCCATGGTGTGTCAGGAGGTCTCTCAGGACGAGCCCTATGACGTGCGGATGAGCGAAGACACGGAGTACTGCAGCGAGCCCAGCCTGATCTCCACAGAGATGTGAGTGCGGCTGCCTCGGCCCGGGCCAGCCCATATGTAGGACAGGGTCTGGGGGTGAAGGGCAGCTCCCTGGAATCCCTCCTCTGGGCAGGACTTGGGGAAGGGGGGGGTCGCATGTCAGAAGAATGCCTGCAAAGCATCTGTCACCTCATGCGGGAGATGGATGTATGCCCCCGCCCACACGACACATACGCACACGTACACACATACACACCACTGTCCCTGGTTAGCTTGGCCTTTCCTCGTGATGCGGTGGTTTCAGGAAGACTTCAAAACATTGTCTCATAAACTTTTTTTACTGAAACCAACTGTCATAAATATATATATTTTTTAAAGATTTTATTTATTTGAGAAAGAGAATGAGATAGCATGAGAGGGGGGAGGGTCAGAGGGAGAAGCAGACTCCCCGCCGAGCAGGGAGCCCGATGCGGGACTCGATCCTGGGACTCCAGGATCAATACCTGAGCCGAAGGCAGTCGCCTAACCAACTGAGCCACCCAGGCGCCCCATAAATATATTTTATAGTGAGACTCCGTACACACACACTGGCAAATAAATGTTCATGAAACTACTTATAATAAAGCCACCCAGCAGAGGGCACTGTTGGCAAACAGTGGCCGAGGTTTTTGTCAGTGTTGGAATTTTTTAAGAGGAGGTTTTTTAATAAAACTACAAGTCTAGACCCATTAGAAGGTTGTGACATTTACTTAATTATGATCACCACTTTCTTTTACATTAATGTTTTATTGAAAAAGGTACATGAAAACTACCTATGTACACAGCCCCAGATGAACAAAACAAGCCTCCTCACACCTTCTTTCGTCTTACAAAAGCTTGACTTCTCTGGAGTCTTGTCTTGCCCATTCCAGCCACAGTGTCCCAGTTAACTTGGTTCCTTTTACTGCAGCCTCAAAATAAAATCAAACTCCTCTTGGGTCAGGGGCTGAATGGAGAGTATCTGGCGAGTGGAGAGAGCCCTATTTTTTAAAGGGCCTCCAGTGGCTTTGTGAGCTTGGAGATGGGTTTTGAGCTCAGGCACCAGGGTCATGAAACACTTCATCTGAACAAACTGTACATTGACCTTGGACCATTTGGGGTTGTCTTCTTTGCTGGATGGGTCATAATGGGGATTATTTTTCTCAAACTGTGTGTGGTCTGGGGACACCTCCCTCACAAGCTTCACAAGTCCTGCGATGCCTGGTTCTTCACAGTTGCTCTGGTAGAAGGCTTCTTTCTCCCACTTCAGGGCCCCAAGGAAGTTCTGGGGCTGGGAATTGTGAAGGCCATCCCAGCATGCTCTCTGCTTGGGCTGTGCTTTACAATCCCCAGGGCTGAACTTCACCTCTACACCTTTGTCTAGTTGGCTTTCTGGTTCTGACGTCATCAGCCGGTAACTGTTTAGATTCTTCCCACCGTTTTTAGAGGCTGAAGCTTTCCGAGGGCTGGAGTTATCCCCTTGAGCTGATGCCCCCGCTGGTTTCTTAGTCTTGGTACGTCTTCTTACAAGCCCCTTATTGTCCGGCCCAGCAGGCTCAGCAGCCCCAGCCAGCCCCTTCCACGGGCTAAGCATGATTTCCCTGTAGGGGCTGAAGAGCAGAGGATTCTCTAATCAACCGAGACACATGAGCGGCAATTCTGTATCTGCCCCCAGAAAACACCCTTCAGGTGCCAGAAGGCCAGGCCATGAGCAGCACTTTAAAAGAAAGAACAGCATAATACAGAATAGCATAGGTTAGAATAAGACAATAGATAATAGTGTATCCAATGTCACAGAGGTATTATTTAGTGAAATATTTGTTTAATTGCCAATACATATATCCGTGTACTGAGTCTCATAAAATGTATTTATGACTGTGGGTTGCATTCAAAAAGTTTAAGGTGCATTGTTTTAGAAGCTTTTCTAAAAGCACTTTATAATAAGGAAGGACCAGCTCTTTTGATTTTTAGAGACTGCAAGTTTTTACATGGCCACATACCCTAGAAATCAGGAAAAGCATATGCTTCAATCCGTTTTGGCTCTGGTGCTTGGTGCATCCAGGCACTCTGCTAGATCATGAATAAACCGGCCTCGGCACTCAAGGATATTTTACAAACCAGTTAAGATCTTAGAAGAGGGAGATAACATGGAGATTTTCACTCACAGAGTAGCACAAGCAACGAAGGGGACAGACATTCAGAGGAGGTTGAGGTCAAGGTGACCATAACAGGCTCCTGGCACAAGATCAAATAGAAGCTGGGTCTTCAAGAGTGGGTACAGTTTGGATTAGAAGAAAATATAATAGGGAAAGCTTACCACGTTGAAAATAAGAGGAAAGGTTTGGAGGTTTTTTGGTCAGAAATTTTCCTGCACATGTACCAAGGATCAAAACCAGTATGCTAGGAGCAGGGACGGCCACACATTCTCTGCCCTCAAAGCATGTGGAGTTACACCAGGGACAGAGTCAGTGGTCTCATCTGTAAAGTGAAGGGGTTAGAAAGCACCTGTCTTCTTCCCCTGGGGACTGTGAAATCAACTTAGTGGATTGCAACTGACATTGTTTAGTGAAATAGAAAAGACTGAAGTAGAATAGAAACCACCAGAGGGCAATGCATGCAAAAAAGGTAAATATGGTTCAAGAAGTTGAGTTCGATTAGGTGTGTATATAAATGGGACAATGTACAGTCTATTTCTCATTGTGAGTCCCATCCAAAAGGTCTAGCAGCCAGGCCCCTTACAGCTCTGCTATTCACTGACTGGCGGACTGGAGATTTGTCTGTAGGCAGCTGCTTATGTGGCTTGATGATGAAGGGTGGGCAGGCCAGGGAGAAATTAGGGAGAGGGGGAGAAGTTTGGGCTGAACTCAGGAGTGGTCAGGGTAAATAGCATCCACATATGTAAACAGAGGAGCCTAGGCTGTTCCTGGAAAGAATCTTGCGGACCAAACATTTTTTGCCATCTTTCTCACCAACTTTGACTCAAGAGTGCCTCTACTGCCGAAAATCAGAAATGCGAGGCTTCTGAGCCGACAGGCTGTGGGTGAGGAGCTGGCAACATCTGTGATGTGGGAGAGCCAGGCCTAGCCTGGCTGGTGGGGGCGAGTTCCTGTTGCCTGCTCCCCGAATCTTTACGAAAGCACAAAGCAGGGGTTCCCTTCACTAGGGAAAAAAAGCAAACTGCCTTCAGGGGGTGGCAGCTCTCCGTATGGGGTGGCACTTCCCAGCTCGCAGAATAAGCACCAGGAGTTCTCTGTTCCAGGCTCTCCTATCAGGACGATGAAAATCGGCAATTAACACCACCTGAGGGGGACAAGAGAGGCATCCAGCAATCTCCAAAGAGGGGTTTCCTCCGCTCTGCCTCACTAGGTAAATACTCACCTCTCTCTTTCTTCAGACGTGGCCGGTCAGGCACTCGAGTGACTGGCTCAGACAGCCCCATGCAGGGGCTGGGCAGATTTCCAGAGCAATGAGACGGGATTCCAAAGCCAGGGCTTGCGGGGGTGGGATTTGGCCATATGCTACGTCTTATGAGAGGCGAACGGTAGGGAAGTATTGACTCCGGGGCCACTCACGCGGCTCCTTGCACCCCCCCCATGGTCTGAGGCTCGCAGACCTCAGTCCCTTTTCCCTGCGCTGATCACAGTTCTTTGGCTGGCTTTGCAGGTCGAAGGGCCTCCTTCCACCTGGAATGTCTGAAGCGACAGAAGAATCAAGGGGGAGACGTCTCTCAGAAGACAGTCCTGCCCTTGCATCTGGTTCATCATCAGGTAGCCGAGGCTTTAGGAGGCATCACTGGCCAGCACCCCGCAGGCTACACAACCCCCGTGATTATGGCAAATCCCAAGACCCCACTCAGTCCTCCTGTCTTGGACCACTGATAGCCCTAGCCCCTGGCCCTAACAGCCCCACATGAGGGGGCTCATCCATGCAAGTGAGAACCTTAACAAGGTCTGTCGTTTCCCCGGGGGGTGGAGAGACACCTAGGAAATACTGGTGAGCAGGAGCTCCTCACATGGTTCAGAAGGATCAGCAGCTCCAGGATTCTGCCTGACCTTCCTACAATGGCACTGATGTTCCCTCCACAGACAACGGCTTACACCACAGATCACTCGGGCAGACGTAATCATACCTAGAGCTGCAAGATACCTGGAGATCTAGTTGCACACAAGCCCATCCCCCGAAATATAGAAATGATTAAAGAATCTGCCAGCAACATGATCAAGAGTAGAGACTGATGTCCAAGGACAACAGGTTCAGAAGATTCGATAATTGAAATATCTCTTGGCATGGCTGACTCCAGCTGAGCCAGTGAAATCCAAGACATCAGTATCCAACATGTTCTCAGTATCTTAGAACTAATGGAAGCCTCAAAGAATCAAAGGCCAGTCCCTTACCTCTAGGCAAATTAGGGCCCAAATTTCCCAAACTTTTTTCCTCTCTAAGTATATACTCCCTCACCACAAGCCTATGCGTTAAATGGGTTTTTTTAATACCCAAGGGCACTCATCTGCCAATCAAAGCTTATAATGTGCATAAGATGGCCAGTGCGGCTCAGCCAAGTTGATATTATTTCAGCTCACAGTACTCACCGTTTTGCTTAGCCTGTGTGGCATTGCCAGCATACAGATGATTTCCAGGGGGCTTTCTGGAGTATTGAGCAGAGCCTTACACTTCCCTCAGATCTCCAGGGAACCAGGGACCCCAGGCTGGGGACCGTCCAGAGCTGTGGGCAGAAGAGACTAGCAGGCTGGTTGGGGGCGGGCAGACACTGTGTGTGCTATTTTTAAAGATTTCTAGAAGTCCATTTCACCCATGTATTCTTATCATGCTACGGGAAAGAACCTCTTCTTTATTTACACTTGCCCCTCCATGCCTTTCCACTGCCGCCCAACCCAGGCTGCAGCTTTCCCTTCCCTCTGCCTCTCTGCTGGGCTCTCCCACTGCGCAATGCCACTCTCCATGGACACCAGCTCAGAGCGGGTCGTTGTGGTACTTGACATGAGGGTCAGGCCCCAGCCGCAGGATTCTCAAGCATAGTGGGGGCCAGAAGACACAACATGTAAAAAGTTTAATCACAATACAGTGCAAGATTTGAACAACAGTAAAAAAAAATTTTTTTTTAATTTAAAAAAACAAAAAACAAAAAAAAGATTTGAACAACAGTTCAGAGATGACCTGAGCTAAGGATCAGCTGGACATGATTCATGGCCTGATTAACTGTAAAAATTAAAACTAAATACTGGTTCTGTCTAGATCTTTGTGGTGCACAGTATACTTCTTCACAGGCTTTATTTCACTTGGATCTCATGTCAACCCCACAAGATAGGGAAATAGAGGGCATTAGTGTCCTGGTTTTACAGATGATGAGGGCAGCATTCTTTCTAAACTACTGATGAGAAAACCAAAAGCCAGAGGATTCTCAGCTGCCCGACGATAGGGCCGGTGATAAGAAGGGGACGCTCTTGATTCCACTCCGTCACAGCTTTCTGAACTTAGAGGAGAAAGCGAGTCCTTCAGACTGGCACGATCACAAAATCTATCTTAGGGTGGCAGAAGCTAACCCAGGGTCTCGATGAGGTCGGAGCCAGTGGGCTGACGGGCGTGGGCCCCAGGTGGGTGGGACTAGCTGAGAGCGGGAGCTGCTGAGGAAGCAGAGGCCCGCCTCTCCCAGTAACTCGAGCTCCTTGTGTGTCCACAGGCATTGGCAGTGGCGGGCCTGAGCCCCCTCCTGCAGAGAAGCCATTCCCCCAGCACGTTCCCCAGGCCGTGCGCCACCCCCCCAGCCACACCGGGCAGCCGAGGCTGGCCCCCACAGCCGATCCCCACCCTGCGGCTGGAGGGGGCCGAGTCCAGCGAGAAACTCAACAGCAGCTTCCCATCCATCCACTGCGGCTCCTGGTCCGGGGAGCCCACGCCTTGCGCTGGGGGCAGCAGCGCCATCCGGAGAGCCCGGCCGGTGTCCCTCACTGTGCCCAGCCAGGCTGGGGCCCGGGGCAGGCAGTTCCACGGCAGTGCCAGCAGCTTGGTGGAAGCGGTAAAGTGACCCTGGGCCACACGGCACGCTGGGGAGGGAAAAGCCAAGGGCAGCCCAGGGACTTCGCATGAGGAACTGAGACAGGAGTCCCTGGTCCTTTCCCAAGTAGAGTGGATGTCAAGTCTCTTGGCCAGAAAGACCCGCACTCCCGGGGAGGAGGGCATGGTGTGCAGAGAACTGTGATCACACAAGACGCTAGAGGCTTCTGCTTGGGCAGGGCCTGCCGCAGAGGGAGAAAGGACTGAGTAGCATATCCCTGCCACAGGCCAGAGAACGCCCCCCAGGGCCCGGGGCTCCGCGGTACAGCCAGAGGGGAGCTCTGACTGCTCTAGATGTAGGGGTGAGCCTGGGCTGTGTTTGCACACATAGAAAGTCAGGATCTGTGGGACTCGAGCCTGGGGCGCATTAGAATAACCTGGGGAGCTTTGGAAACCTAGGACACAGTAAATGGGTATTCTTTAAAGCCCTGCGATGATTCTAATGCACAGCCAGGGTTGAGAATCACTATTCTAGAACAAGAGTGCTTCCAGGTCCTCTATCCTCTGCCCTGGCCAGAGCATCTAGTGTGATCCTGGCACCACATTTTAGGGGACTTTGACAAACTGGAACAAGCCCAAAGGGACATGGCAAGGGATTGGTGAGGTCCCTAGAAGCTATCTCATATGAGCACTGGTCAAGGGAGTTAGGGAAGCAAACCAAGAAAGGGGGAGGCTTAGGAGGCCACAATGGGCATCTCCAACTGTAAGGTCCCTCATGTCCTGGGCAGGGGGTCTCGAGTGCAGGACTGGAGCGGCAGATCAAACTGACAGGCAGGCAGATTTCAGGTTACATGAGGAAGACCTTTCCAACAGAGCTTTCCCAAAATGAGGAGGGCTTTCCTATAAAGGAGTGAGCCCGCCATCGCTGGAGCTCTGAAGAAAATTTAAGCAGGACAGGAAATAAAGAGTGATGGGAGCAGGGCAAACAGACCTGGGAGAAAGGCATTCAGGCTTCACTATTAATCCCCTGTCCTTGGCTCAGCAGCTGGTTTCCCCAAAGCCAGTCACTAAAGCGGCCTCTAGGAAGGAGGGAGCAGCCCTGGGACCGCCTTCTGGCCCTTTGGAGCTGAAGCAGAGGCAGGTGCAGACCTGGCGTTTTGCACACATCCTACGCCAGGATCCTCACCCCCACGAAGGCAGCCAGCCAGCAGTGGGCAAGGGGCACAAGTTTAACAGTTTCCCCAAAGGAGAGTGAAGGTTTCTGGGCAAGAATAACAGGGGGGCACCTACGGGTGCCAGGGAGGAGAAAAGACAGGGCAGGCCAGGTTCTGCCTGGACCGCGGTACAGCAGCACCCCGCGGCCCCTCTGCGAGCCAAGTTTTCAGGTGTTCGACAACAGTTTTTGAGTATCCCAGCCAAAACAGCTCTCCTCCAGCCTACACATCCCTGATGCCTTTGGGCAATGCTCCGGGTCAGCTCCTTTCCTGGGAGCACCCCTCCCAGCATGCCCACATGCTCACACGCGCACACGCACGCGCGCACACACACACACACACACACACACTTCCCGAAGTTACCAGGCCCAGGCCCCTTGCTCCAGCCCTAAAGGGAAGAGTTGACCTCCAGGAATAATGTTCCTCTTTGGTTCTTCTTTATGGCCCTCCCTCCCCACTTCAGGTCTTGATTTCAGAAGGACTGGGGCAGTTTGCTCAAGATCCCAAGTTTATCGAGGTCACAACCCAGGAGCTGGCTGATGCCTGTGACATGACCATAGAGGAGATGGAGAACGCCGCCGACAACATCCTCAGTGGGGGCGCCCAGCAGAGCCCCAACGGCACCCTACTACCTTTTGTTAACTGCAGGGACCCGGGGCAGGACAGAGCAGGGGGCCAAGAGGGCGAGAGCTGCGCCGCGGCTCGGGCGTGTCGGAGGAGCGAGGAGGAGCGCCAGGACAGCAGAGCCCACCCCGGCAGCCTGTAGTCGCTAGGGCTGGGGAGACGCTGGGTTTTTTATTTGTTTCAATGTTCCTAATGGGTTCGTTTCAGAAGTGCCTCACTGTTCTCGTGACCTGGAGTTAACCGGAACAGCGTCTTCATTCATTTCGTTGGGACAAGACGCAGAGTTGGGTGGTGTGCAGAGTCCGTTTTCCGGGGGGAAGGAAGGCAGCAACCCCAGTTTGTATTGTGTCCACAGAGGTAGAGTGGTGAGGAGGAGTGGAAGAATCAGCGAGGGAGAGCAAGAGAAGAGACACCTGCCCTCACCTCCGGGCATGAAAGAGAACCTCAGCTTCCTGCGGTAGCCCTCACCAAAAGGACCCCATGTCAAACGGGTGTCTTTCAACTTTGCTTGTAAAAAAAAAAAAAAAAAAAAAAAATCATTTTGCACATATTCTGTATGAGCCTCACTGTCTCCATAGAGCCGGGGCCCTGTGGATTTGCAGAAGGAAGCAGGGGTGTGACTGCAGCGAGGACACAGCCCCGTCCCCCAGAGGGACGAGGTGCAGCCCGAGGCAGAGGAGCTCGGGAGCGGAAAGGAGCAGAGGGCGAGGGCTGCATTCGGCCTCCAAGGCGCAGGCTCCCCGCCGTGCCCCGCCCGTCTGCATGAGGACCAGCGTCCCTGCACAGGCCCACCGAGCTCCAGCCCAGCGGCTGGGCCTGCATCGGGGCGAGGGGGCACTGGCACCGCCTGCCAGGGAAGGGGCAGCCGGCCCTTGACAAGACGAGGTGGTGCTGAGCTTCTTGTTGAGCGCTCTTTTGTTTTAGGGTTTAACATTTTTCTTGATAGCATGTTGCAGTTTTCGGGGGTTTTTTTGGTTTTTGTTTTATTTTAATTTTGTTTTCCCAGGGGGAGGGGAGGAAGAAGTGTTTACAAAGCTTTGTACACCCACCTTACTGTTTTCACTTTTGCAAATGTAAATCGGGTTTGGTTTTACTGTATTATTTAAACGGTTGTGGTTTTCTTTTTCTACGGTGGGTTCAATAGAGCCGCCGTAGGCAAGTTTTACCAGCCATTGTGTATGCGCAATAATTTGTTATAATTTCCGTAGGTAGTAACAAAAATTTTTTTGGTTTGGTTTTATAATTTAAAGGTAATGCACTTGATACGGTCTTGCACATATGGGTGATTGAGTTGGGTTCTTTTTAATGCGAGGTGTATTTGTGGGTGCCAGAGAGAGGAAGATTGGATGAGTGAGTCTCTGCGAGTGTGTGTGTGTGTGTGTGTGTGTGTGTGTGTGTGTGTGTGTGTGTGGTGGGCTGTCTGGGCACCTGTCGTCCGTGTGTATGTACACCCACACAGTGCGCCCATGCGTGAATGAGTGTGTAGCTCCCCCTTTCTGGTCTAACTGTGGGGAGATCTGAATCTGGGGCCATTTGAAAGCAAAAACAAACCACTGTCTCTGCTTCTGAAATGGGAATCAGTAACTCTTTGCATTTTCTGTCCCACAAGATATGCAAAAACAATGCAATAATATTCATTTTAAAAATATAATTGTGAGTTGTGTTGGCATTAAAACTGTATTTAAAAAAAACAGAGAAATTTAAGGGAAAAACTAAAGAAGGCGTTTTGCTTCGATATATTCCGTGTAATGTTTTATTGCATTGATAATGTTTCTGTTGAAGAAACTGTTATACTTGAATTCAGGTCAGTTTCAGTATTTTACAAATATTTTTTTAAAACTGAATTGCAATTGTGCCAAGCGAATATAATGAATTGAATTAAGTTTGTTTTTGAATTCCCTTCTTGTATATTTTGCTGCATGTAAGTAAATCATTTTGTATTTGGAGTGTGACAAGCTTTACCCTTGAACTCTGAAGTGCTTTTCTATATGTGGTTGGGGGAAAGGGAACGAATATTCTTTTAATTTGTACAATGAGCAAAGGTATCACCAGTGTGAATCATTGTTCTGCGATCCACCAACAGGTTTGGACTTTACTGTTTTGCATATCTTGTGTTCGCTTCCATTTCCCTCCATTTTTCCAAAACTATATGATAAGTATATTTGTACTACATCTTGCTTTGAGAGACCAGGACATGTCTTAGTCCTGTCTTCACTCTATCCATTCTGCTCCAGTTCTCTGACTTGGACTTTGTCTAGGGGCAGTCCGGCACCATAAGCATCAGCATCCCCCATGGGAGAGGGGGCTGGCTTTTCTGTTCACTTCCACAAACTTTCCTCAGTGGTTTCCTCAGGAAAGCGTGCGCTGACTGAGAGGCCGGAGCTAGAGTCGGGCTGCCTGGAGGTCAGGGAATCCTCCCTCCAGCAACTGCTCTACCCAAACTCAGATAGCAGGGGCCAGAGAACAGCAACCAGGTAAAATCTTTGTCCATCCAGAAGTCAGCTCTTACTTCTTTTCCTCACTCGGGAGCAGGATTTCCTCCAGACCTACCCTAGTGTGTGTGGCAGCCGTGGAGGGGACCAGGACCAGGCAGGACGCATCAGGAGGTCACAGTGATAGTGGGACCAGAGACTCTGTGCGAGGGTCTCTTGTGCCCAGTTGCGTTCTGCCTAGAGCATCATCCTATCGGTGCTGTTTCCTCCAAATAGATTTCAACAATGATGGTTGAAAAGGAGGTGATTTGGGGAAAACAGGACCCAGACATCCAGGATTTACCCAGTGAATGTCTTCCAGGCCCAGTGCGCTCTCAGCCCTTATGTGAGCAACCTAGAAATTAAAGTCGGGGAAAGTCAATTCCCCAGCAAAGATGAGTCTCACTTTCAAGGACTGATCCATGAAAAAGTGGAGAAACGTGCCAGATACTCCCAGGTTAACTTACAGTCTAGAAGCAGAAGGGTTTCTTCCTGTTTCTCCAAGCCCAACCCATCCAGATTTTTTTGGCTCCTTTTCGGTGCCATGAAGGCCTTCTAGAAATTACTTAGGTGTCGTCCTCTGTCTGGTTTCCCAAGATATCTACCATTGTGCTGCTAAGATATGTTATGGTGGAGAGGGGAGCCCTTTTGGATTGATATCTGGTTTTTGCTGTACATTTGGTCCCTGGATAGAAATTTAGAATCTCAATTGACCACACACACATACACAAACACACATCCACACACCCACACACACCCAACACATGCACGCCCTCAACCTTCATGCTGCTTTCTTTTTTCCTTTTGGACTTGTCTTCTGCATCACCAAATCTCGTTGGCCAGTGGCATGGGCTACAGGCTGGGCTCATGCCAACTACCCCTAGAGCCCTGCCTAAGTGTGGCCCCTGGTCCTTCACCACTCACACCTACAGGGTCCCTTCTTCTTTCTAGTCAGCTCTGTCAGAAGACCGGCTAGCCTTGCACCCTGCAAGAACAATGGCAGCAGTGCCAAGGGCACCTGGCACTGTGCTGCTGGGAAGGAAAGGAGTTTCAGATGGGAGTTCCCTGTGTAGGGGGTAATGGGTCTTTCTGGCCTGACCTCATGATCGACTGGTATAGGATACCTGTCATCATGCAGACTGGTAAAATCAATCATGACATCATGAACCTCCTCCGCAGCGTATTAAGTGATGTCTACCCTCCACCTAGAGCAGAACTTTGCCCATGACCATTAAATCTTCTGAGAACCCTTGAGTGGCAGCAGAAAGCAGTCAATGGCTGAGGACCAACGGGACTTGAAGAAGTGCCGTGTAAGTTCTGGGGGTTGGTAAACGATATTTATTTTTTCCTCTGAATGGCCCAGACTCTTGTATTTCCACACTTTAGCTTTTTAATAATTAGGCATGTGCATGGCTATATTAAGCAGAGAGATTTTCAGTTGTCTCCTTTCTGCCTGTTTCTAGAAGTTTCTTTTTGGTCTTGAGGCAAAAAGGGAGAATGTTTTCCTGGATTTTGGCTTGTTCCATTAATTTTTCTCTGTTCTGCTTCAGAGGCTATTATAGTCCCCCCACCACCACCCTCTAACTTTGACTGGGAGGTCCAAGGACAAAGGAACAGGCTTCCTTACTCTGTCTTGATCCTGTGACCCTGCTTCCAAACCTCGGGGGCTTGTCTGGACTGACGCTATCAGTTTCTCACAGCCATTTTCCTTCCAGAACATCTCCTGATCATTCAGCTCTCGATAACAAGGCGCCCGCAGGAGAAGGACACCTTCCAATGCCTGAGAAATAAGAACACCCTGAAAATGAGGAGTTTGGAAGTCATCAAAAGGGTTCCATCGTTCTTAAAGGTCAAGACATGTGACAAGAAGCTAGTTTAGGTGTACAGAATAACCCTGGTAGTCATGTTTTTAGCCTCATCAACCATAATTATAGATGTTGCTAAGGAAGATGATGGCATCTCCATCCTGAGGGACCTAGAAAAGATGAAATACCATTGTCTAAGAGTTAGAAACTGTTCAGCAAAGAGGCCAGAAAAGGGCAATCTGGTTTCAAGAGGACCCACTTAAGACCCAATTTAGTAAAACACTTGCTGATAAGAGGGCAGGCCAGTTCCATTTTTTTAAAAAAACATGGCTCCGGTCGGGGGAAAGTGTTGGCACAGAGAGAACTGGAGGGAAAATGCAGGCAAAGCAAAGGGCATGTCTTGACTCTTTATGCTCTGTTCCCATTTTCTGGAAAGAAGTGTCCAGTTAATCCACGCAATGGCCAGTACGGGGGAGAGGATAATGCTTCAAGGATCGACTTTGGAAAAAGAGAGTAAAATTGCAGTCATTGTTTTACCAGACAAATCAACCTATCTGGCGAGATGTGGGGTATCTGCCACCCTTTCCTCTTTGCTGGTGTCCCTCCCCTCATACCAGCTGGCATGCCACCTACAACTGGCTCCTGTTGGTCAGCAGGCACGAAGGCCTAATGGCCTAATGTCACTCACGGTGAGGCTCTTAGTCACCACATCCAGATTCCCCATCAGCTCCCTCTGAGGAGACACAAGGAAAATAGACAAGGGACCGAAGTGTCCTACAGCAGTCAGGGATGAGGTTTTTTTCCCCTTCCCCAAGCCTTTCTCTCTATTCCAGCCTCCTGCCCGGCCCCCACTTTTCCTTCCTCCCCCCAGTCTAGTCAGAAGAACAGAGAGTTGAAAGGAAGCCAATGTGCAGATTCTTAAACAGTTTCTTTGTGAAGCTAGTTCTGGTTTTAACTTTTTTTTTAATTTCAAAACAATGAAACCTTGCTTTGTGACGCCAGATACCGATGTAACAGGCGGTTTCTGCCAGACTCCCACATGGTTGGGAGACACTTGAACACCACACATACACATACACACTTTCATCCTCATGCACACACGCATGCACACACGGGCGTGCACACATACACACACACAAACACACTTCCTTAAGGGACAGGGGCTGGTGCTGGGGTTGAACTCTGCACAAATGATACTGTCCTCCCAGAGGGCTGAGCACTGTATAGAGAGACGTGGAGAGTGAAGCAGAGTAACTTCCTTAGTAGAAATAGTGCCATCTGACCCTATTATTACTGCGAACTAAATATTATTTATCTACATTAAGAAATACAATTACTTCTACAATCAGACTTTTCCCTCATATGATTTTCAGAGGCTTGCTCCAGAGAAGATGCAGTAGTAAAGACTCTTCAGCTCGCCGGTATACTAGAAAAGCCTTTTGATCAGTCTCTGAAAGGGAGAGAGATTGCCAGCAGGATATATTGAGCTGAGTTGAACAAATCAATTTAACACTGAAAGAGTCAGAGTTGGGACTTCCACAGAAATCCCCTCAGTCTCTACTGAATTAAGGAAAACAAGACAAAACTAGATAAACAAAAGCTTGAAATGTTACATCACCAGAGTCAAATATTCTCCCTCAGATCACATGCTGGCTTCTTCACGGCTGTACTCTCTTTTGGGG